AATCACTCAGGTTGGATAAGACCTTAAAGATCATCGAGTACAACCATGGACCTAACCATACTGCCCTAACTCTAACAACCCTCCACAATCGTGTTCCTAAGCACCACAACTAAATGGTTTTTAAACATCCAGGGATGGTGACTCAACCACCTCCTGGGAAGCCTATGCCAGTGCTTAACAATCCTTCCTGTAAAGAAGTTTTCCTGATATCCAGCCTAAACCTCCCGTGCCACAACTTGAGGCCACTTCCCCTCGTCCTGTCACCTGTCACCAGTGAGAAGAGACCACCCCTGCTCTCACTGCAATCACTTTCCAGGTACTGGAAGGGAGCAATAAGGTCTCCCTTCAGCCTCCTTTTCCTCATACTAAACAGCCCAGTTCCTTCAATCTCCCCTCGTAGGCCATGTTCTCCAAGCCCTTCACAAGCCTTGTTGCCCTTCTTCGGCCTTGCTCCAGCACCTCAGTGTCCTGTGTACTGTGTACACTGTGTACTGTGTACAGCGTACTGAGGTGCCCAAAACTGAACACAGTACTCGAGGTGAGACCTCACCAGTGCCGAGTACAGGGGCAGGATGACTTCCCTAGTCCTGCTCACCTCACCATTCCTGATACAAGCCAGGATGCCATGGGCCTTCTTGGCCACCCGGGCACACTGCTGGCTCATACTCAGCCAGCTGTCCATCAATACACCAAGGTCCCTTTCCGTCAGGCAGCTTTCCAGCCACTCTTCCCCAGGCCTGTAGGGTTGCCTGGGGTTGTTGTGACCAAAATGCAGGACCCAACACTTGGCCCTGTTGAAATACGAACAGTTAACCTTGGCCCATCAATCCAGTCTATCCAGGTCCCTCTGTAGTGCCCTTCTCCCCTTGGGCAGATCAGCACTGCCTCCCAACTAGGAGTCATCTGCAAACTTACTGAGGATGCACTCAATCCCCTCATCAAGATTAATAAAGATGTTTCATAGAAGCTGCCCCAATACTGTGCCCTGGGGGACAGCACTCGTGACCCGGCCACCAGCTGGATTTAGCTCTGTTGGCCACAGCTCTTTGGGTCTGGTCATCCAGCCAGTGTTTCACCCAGCGGAGCGTACGCCCATCCAAACCATGGGCAGCCAGCTTCTCCATGAGAATGCTGTGGGGAACAGTGTTGAAGGCCTTACTGAACTCCAGGTAAACCACATTGACAGCCTTACCCTCATCCACTAAGCGGGTCACCTTGCCATAGAATGAAATCAGGTTTGTCAGACAGGCTTTACCATTCGTAAACCCATGCTGACCGGGCCTGATCCCCTGGTTGACCTTTAACTGGTCCATGGTGGCTCCCGAGATTATCCGTTCCACAACCTTCCCGGGCACTGAGGTGAGACTGACAGGTCTGTAGCTACCAGGATCACCTTTCCAGCCCTTTTTGAAGATGGGCGTCACATTTGCCAGTCTCCAGCCTGCCGGGACATCCTCGGTTAGCCAGGACTGCCAAAGAATGATGGAGAGTGGCTTGGCAACCACATCCTCCAACTCCCTCAGCGCTCTAGGGTGCAATCCATCCGGCCCCATGGACTTGTGAGTATCCAGCCTTCAGAGCAGGTCCAAAACCACCTCGTCAGAGATAAAGCAGGGCCTTTCTGTTCCCCATCCCTTTCTACCAGAGCAAAGGGCTTTGTTCCCAGGGAGTCTTACTATTAAAGACCGAAGCAATGAAGGCATTAAGCACCTCAGCCTTATCCTGATCCTTGGTCACCAAGTTGCTCTTGGCATCCAACAAGGGGTGGAGATTCTCCCTAGCCCTCCTCTTGCTGTTGATGCGTTTACAAACGTATTTATTGTTTACCTTAGTGGCCAATTTTAGTTCTAGCTGGGCTTAGGCTTTTCTAATTTTCTTCCTGCACAGCTTCACTACATACCTGTAATTATCATACGTATCATAAATGTAATTATCATAAGTATCATAAACTTTTCTTTTGCTCTTGAGTTCCAGCCAAAGGTCTCTGTTCAGCCAGTCTGGCCTCCTTCCCCGTTGGCTCGTCTTCCGTGACTTGGGGAAGGTCAGATCCTGCACCTTTAAAATAACTTCCTTAAAGTATTCCCAGCCTTCCTGGGCTCCCATGCTCTTCAAAAATAGCTCCCATGTGATCCTCTCAACCATGGTCCTCGAAAGTTAAAGTCTGCCCTCCAGAAGTCCAAGGTGGCAGTTCTGCTGACTCCCCTCTATGGTTCAACAAGGATCTAGAAATCTAGCATCCTGTGATCACTTTGCCCCAGACAGCCTCCAGCCTTTATATCCCCCAAGAGATCTTCTCTCTTAACAAACAGCAGGCCCAGGATTTTGCTTCCCCTCGTTGTCTCCCTCACTAGCTGTGTCAGGAGTTTATCTCCCACACACTCTAGGAACCTCCAGGACTGTTCCTTATCTGCTATATTATAAATACAGCAGATGTCTGGGAAGTTGAAGTTCCCCACAAGAAAGAGCGGGAGTGACCTTGAGACCTCACCCAACTGTTTATAAAGCATCTTGTCCTCCTCTTCATTCTGGTAGCAGACTCCCACAGTAATATCTGTCTTATTGGTCTTCACTTTTATTCTGACCCATAAGATCTCAGCCCTATCATCACCATCATTAATTTCCACACATTCACATTCTTTCCTAACATAGAGGGCTACACCACCACCTTCCTGCCTTGCCTGTCTCTTCTGAAAAGTCGGTAGCCATCCATCACAGCACTCCAGCTGTGTGAATAATTCCACCACATTTCCATGATGGCAGCTGTATCATAGCTTTCTGACCGCACAATGGGTGCCAGCTCCTCCTGTTTATTACCCATGCTGTGTGCATTAGTGGGGCACCTGAACTGGGCCTCCTTTTGAGTGGCAGTAGCCCTAATACCTTCATGACCGTACTCAGGTGTTTCCATAGCCACAAACCTCACGTCAACCCTCGTGTTCTCCTACAAAAGGCTGAGTTGTTCTCTTCCTTCACCAAGACACAAGACTGTGGGATCTTACTAGCATATCCCTCTCCTACAAGCACTGGACGTGACATACAGGCTCCATTCCAGTGACCCCAGTTACACCCCCACCCCCTTTCGTACCTAGTTTAAAGGTCTATGAATGAACCTTTCCAACTCGCGTCTTAAGACCCCTTTCCACCGGTGGGAGAAGTTACTCCTATCGGTTGCCAGCCAGCCTCGTCTTGTGCAAACAGCACAGAGGTCAAAAAACCCAAATCCCTGCCAGGCACACCGGGCTCTGAGCCAGGTATTAATCCATTGGCCCATTATATTTAGTGCCTCATTATTCCCTGTAACTGGAGTGATAGAGGAGAACAGAACCTGAGGTGCTCCCAAACCCCTTACCTCTTATCACCCTTTACCTCTTTATTGCTTCTCAGCCTTTTGGCTAAGATCAAGTGTAGTGTAGTGTAGTTAACTGCAAGATTAAGTGAATGAGCATTTACCTTTAGCTCTGAAAAGACAAAGCAGCAGTAAAAACAGTGCTAGCAACAGTCATAGAGTGATCATTTTGTTGTTGCAACCTCCAGAATTCTGCATTTCTTACATGTCACTAGGAATGTCTATGAGAATTATGAACTACATCTATATATGTATCTATATATATATATACTGCATATATCTATGTCTGCATACAGAGGAAATATCTGTACAAGCTACTTTGTGTTATCAGCTTACGCTCTGAGTGCAGCTCAGCACAGGTTTTCTCTCCTGCCCTCTCACACAGTATTTCTGCCACAGTAATAAAGGTCTTTCTCTAAGAACTGAATGACTCTGTACTTGTCCCAGGGACAAGCCCTCAGCATCCCAACCCCAGCCCTGCTGCAATGTCACTGCCAGAGAGCAGGGCCACAGCTGCTGAATGATTGCAGTACTGGGGGACATGGATGCTGGAGGTCCATAGGCACTGAAGGACCACAGACACTGAGGGTCTCAGACATTCGGATCTCTACTGTCTCCAAGGAACCACATGCACAACACTGAGGGCAGAGCTGCAGCTGCCCTAAGACATGTTCCACTGAGACCATGGAACATGGCTGCCACCACAGTGGTATAGCACAGTGCTGCTGGTTTTCTGCTAGCCTGTATGGCATTCTGGGACATCCAAGTGTAGAGAAGTGGAAAAAACAATCATTTCACAGGTACCAAATCTCCATCCTGGGCAAAGAACGGCGCCTTCACTCGTTCATGTGTCACAGGAAAGGAGTGGGGGGTCATTTTGTGCAGTTGGTGTTTCGGCTCTCCAGCCATGGGGGCAAGTGACACATATCCACTCATGAGACTGAGTGTCAGCGGCACTTCTTGCTTCAGGCAACAGCGCTGAGCAATAGCAGCAGTATGTTCCACCCTGAAGTTTTCTGCTTGGGCACAGGGAGCAAAGGAGCTCCATGTGGAAGCACAGCTTGCTGCTGGACTTGCTCTGATGAAAGAAAATATGTAAGTGTAATGCAAAATGCTGCAGTGCTAAATAAGTACAAACCAAAGGCAATTTTAGGCACTGTTTAATCATCGCACTGAGTGCAAGCACACATGGACAGTAGCAGACATGAATGACAAACTGCAATTTGTAAACACTGTGGATTTAAAACATCACGATGTGGAGGGCAGCCACATCCAAATACACCGGAGGGCACGCTCGTTGTGGCACAGGCTGTCTGCAGCGCTGCTCTTGTCACAGCTGAAGTTTTCAGCAGCCGTTTTCCAGTGACTATTCTGTGTTCCACTGCGCAAGCCGGGCAGATTTGCGCAATACGGTGGCTCCGCATCCATTAGCCCGCATACTGACGGCGAGTTATCAGCCGGGCCGATGCAGTTCTCCCCAAATCCCCGCGCCACAACACCTCCCGAGGGCAGGCAGCCGACCGGCTGCTCGGCCACGCGCGTGCACAGCGCTCTCTCTTCCCTCCCTTCCGCAACGCAAAGTCCTCGGGCATCCGAAAAGTTGCCCATTCTCGCCCCAGAGAGAAGCGCTGCCGGCAGGGCACCCCGCGGGCTCTCAGCGCGGCACCCATCGGAAGCGGTACCCTCCGTCGGCGGTGTGCAAGGTGAACGCGTTGCCCTGCGGGAAGGCCAACGTGCGGATGCCGCCCTGCTCGCCGAAGGCCACCCGCAGACTGCCGCCACCTTCCAGCTCCGCGTCGCCGGCGCTCAGCGGGACGGCCGCGCGCGCGGTGCGCAGCCCGCGGAAGGCGCCGTGGAGCCGCGGGCGCTTGGCGGCGGGACTGCCCGCCAGGCTGCGCAGAGCCGCGCGGCACTGCGCCGACACCGCCCGCAGCATGCCGCCCACGCCCGCCGCCTCCGCGCGCCCGCAGCACCCGGCGGGAGGAGGAGGAGCGGGAGGAGGAAGAGCCGCGCCGCCGGGGCGCGCCGGGAGCATCAGCTTCTGCCGGAGGGGAGAGAGGCTTCAGCGCGCCGCCCCGTAGCCCCGCAGCGCCTCTCCCCGGCACGCTCTGTGCGGCCCGGCCGCCCCGCGCCCCGCACTGCCGGTGGGCGGCACTCACGTCGAGCACCGTGGCCAGCTGCCGAGCCTGGTTCGCCAGCTCCTTCAGCTGCACGTTGCTCTCCCGTAGCGTCTCCAGCTCCTCCTGCTTCTGCGCCAGAGCCTCCTGCAGCTGGGGGCACGAGCGGACAGTGGGCGCTCGGGACAGCTCCGGCACCTGAGGAACACGGGGACGTGCCAGCGTCCCCAGCGGGATGACGGCTCGGCCCGGGCCCTACCTGGCTGTTTTCCTCCAGAGCATCTCCAAGCGCCTGCCCTTGTCTCTCGGCCGCGTCCCGCCAGCACGGCTGCAGGGATTCTGGGGGCTGCGGGCGCTCCACATAGGTGCCGAAGGCCACGTCCTCGCCGAGGGAGAAGTCGAAGTCAGCGCAGTCCGGCGGTGGGGGCACCCAGGTGGAGGCATCTGGAGAGAAAACCCAGAGGGTGATGGCATAGGGGTGGGGGTTCAGACCCTGACTCACCGTCCCCGTTCTGAGCACCCCCCGGCGGCCGTGTCCCTGCTGTGCGCACTGGCCCCACCTGGGTTTCAGTTCTACCCCCAAGGGGACGCGCTGCCGTGTCGGCCGTCACAAGCATCCAAACACCCGAGAAAGCAAAAACAGAAGCAGACCGAACGCAGCACGCAGACACTGCGTTACTCCACATCTGGCCAGGAGAGGATGGACATCTACTTGCCAGACATAAAATCATGGACAGCATCTCTGAGATCCTGGAAATCGAACTCCGGCTCATCCTGCAGGCACAGGCCCTGGGGACGAATGAAGACCAGTGAAGAGGTGGAGTTGGCTCCGACAGCCGCAAAGCTCTCGCACTGCCGGAGCCGAGCAGGATGACCTGCGGGGTTACCTGCGGTGGGGCGGCGGGGCCGACCATGGCGGCTGGGAGGACGGGGCCGCGGGCTACCAGCTCCTGCCAGTCACGGGCGGCGTGCGCCGTGGGCGGCGAGAGACGGCGGTGAGAGAGAGCTGGGGCCGGGCCGGAGGGGCCGCGGCGGGGCCGGGGCTCGGGTCCGCGAGGGCTCAGCCCCGTCGGAGATGTCCCCGCCGCCGCCCCGCTGGACCGCGCGGGCTTTTTAGCTCCGCGGACGGGCGGGCCCGGAGCCCGGTTGGGGCAGATGCTGCCGAAAGCCCGGCGGCCGCCCTGCTCCATGCCGTCGCGTCGCCCCCGACCTGGCCGACTCCTCTGCTCCGCTCCCCGCTCGGCGCGCAGTGGGGCCGCGGGAAGCCGGGGCCGGAGCCAGCCCGCGGGATGCCCGCCCGCCTCCATCCCTCTGCCGGGGCGGGGAACCATCCCGCCAACCCCGCGCCCGCGCCCGCGGAACCCGCGCCCGCGGTGCCGCTGGGCTGTCGGGGCGGGGCGGAGCCGCCGCGCAGAGCCCCCACGCCGAGCGCCGCATGGCCGCCCCAGGCCCGGACTGCCGCCGAGGGTCCCGGCGGGGGGAGGTGGGCGGGAGTCGGATTGCGCGCTGGGGCTCCGCGCCGTGTCGGGGCTTTCCGTTGAACGGCGTACGACGGGGACAGACAACCTGACCAGTGGCATCGTGCACGCGGTGTGGGTGCGGTCCCCCCTACGCACCTCTATGCGCGGACGGGCAACGAAATAAAGAAAGATCGCTGTGGTGTTACGTCTCTCCTGTTGATTTTTTAAACTTACTCTACCTTTTTTTTTTTTTTTCCCTTTATTTTTTCCCGGTGCCACATGGCCACTTGGCTGGGAGTTCGCCCGGGGTTACGGGTTGGCCAGGAAAGTTAGCAGTCCCGTAGTGTCTTTTGTACCGTTCCGTTCTCTTACACTGCGCCGAACTTATGTTTTGCTTTTTGCTTCCTAATCACGAACATCACCGAGCCAGCACACGGTGTGAAACAGGAGATCACTCTGGCGGGTTAATTGTTAATGGGACCTGATTGTCGATGTGATCCCCGCTGCTCCCGCGCACCTTCCTCCACCCCCCGTCTGCCCCAGGCAATGAACCACGCGCAGGTGATGTACAGGAATAGAGTTTATTTCGCTTCTCTCGGGCTCTCCTCCCTCGCGGGTGCCGTTACGGACAGCCCCCCGAATAAATAACGCGGTACCCGGGTATGTGTGTATTATTTACACGCTGGATGCAGAAACACAAAACAATCTCTGATCAGTGAGCGACCACGCGCATATTCTCCGCGGTGCCACACACGGTCACCTCCCGACCCGAGGCCACGCGCAGCGCGGGGCTCCCGCAGCCCCGCCGTCAGTCGCCGTCCCTCAGCCACAGGCACTTCCGCACCACCTCCGCGGGCAGCACGAGCGGCAGCGCCGCTGCGTTGAGCGACACGAGCAGCCGCAGCTCAGCCATACAGTCCCGCAGCTCCCTCCGCTGGTATCCGCTGACCCGCAGGTCCAGCGGGCTGCGGTGCCGGAGCAGCCGGTCCGCCAGCCCCAGGCTGGCCGCGGCCAGCAGCGACGGCGGGTACTTGGTGAAGGTGTAGTCGGCCAGGCTGATTTCCGCTACGCCCTGCGCCAGGCTCCCCGCGTCCGCCGCTTCGTCGGAGTCGGCGCCCGGAGCCTCCAGCCGCACCCGGGTGAAATGCTCGAGGAAGAAGGAGACGGTGGGCGCGCCCAGGCTGAAACCCAGCTTGTGCAGGACGATGCACTCCAGGTTGCAGAGTTGCTCCCCGCTGAAGGCGCCGCAGCAGAGGGCGAGGAGCTGCTTGACGCTGGGGGGGTGCATCTCCACCTGTGGGGGGAAGGACGGAGCGAGGAAAGAGGCTGCTGGGGCGCGAGGGCGACCGGCTCGCACTCACTCGGCCGTACCTGCTTGCAGGCGAGGAGCAGCGCCGTGGACCCGAGCAGCTGGAAGCAGTCGGCGGCCACCGGGGTGGTGTCGAGGAAACGGTCGATGATGTTGACGGTCAGGCAGAGCGCCTCGAAGGAGTACCCCAGCTCGCGGTGCACGGGGATGAGCCAGCTGATCAGCCGGCAGCGCGCCTCCGCCGTCACCTGCGCCGACAGAAGCGGGATGAGCGGGCCGGGCCGGGCCGGACCGGGCCCCACTCTCCCCGAAGTCCTCACCTGCGGCTGCCGGGCAAGCGGCTCCCGCGGCTGGAAGCGGCTCTCCAGCGCCTTGCGGGAGCGGTACCAGCTCTCCCCGTACTCGCGGAAGGTCTGCAGCTCCAGGCGGCTCTCCGCGCTCGTCGCCTCCTCCAGCCGCCGCCGCCGCCGCCGCCGCAGGAGCGCCGGGCAGTACCTTGGCCTGGCGCCGCTCTTCAGCCGCTGCGGGGTGGCTCCCCGCCGCCCGTCCGCCGCCGCCACCATGGGCGCGAGCCGCGCGCAGCAGCGGTGTCCGAGCGGCAGCGCTGCGCCGCGGTATTTGAGCGCCGGGAGGCGGGGGGCGGGCAGAGGCAGGAAATCGGTCTCCAAAACAAAACCCAGAACACAGTCGAGGAGGAGCCGGGCCGTCGCAGCTCCTCACACCTTCGCACCTCTTCCAAGCGACTGGGATGCGGCTGAGAGCCGCGCGGTGTTGGGCGTGGGGACCGCGGTTGCACTGATGCGAAGGCTCCGACGAATGCTCTAAGGATGGAGAACACCGGACACAGGTGCCCAACACCCACTCATGCCACAGCCCGCTCCTTGCACCCTGAAACTGCTGCGTTCTTCTTTTTGCCACTACTGAAATAAACGACTGAGTCCCAAAGTTTTCACTCAGAACCCAGAGCGCTTTGACAACTACAGCTCACGATAGAAATATTTTCATTTGATGCTGCCAGGAAGCGCAGCACGAACAGAAAAGGGGAGGTATCAGGAGATATTCAGAGTGCTGCAGGGCTCCTGCAAAGTCTCCATGCTACTCCCATCAGCTGACCATTCATATGGCAGAGCACTGTTCCACACAAACGGAGGGATATCAGGATGTTCTTATACTGCAACCCTTGGCTTAAAGAAGCAGAACTGAGGACAAACATGGCAATTTAAATCAGATATGATTTGCTTTTTTGATGCGTTGGTTAGGAAAAGATGCTCACCTGGGTCAAAGGGTGGGAAAGAAGGCTACAGGAAATCACAGAATCACAGAATCATAGGGGTTGGAAGGGACCTCCAGAGATTATTGTCCAACCTCCCTGCCAAAGCAGGTTCCTACACCAGGTTGCACAGGTAGGCATGCAGGCAGGTCTTGAACATCTCCAGAGAAGGAGACTCCACCACCTCCCTGGGCAGCCTGTTCCAGTGCTCCGTCACCTCACTGTAAAGAAGTTCTTGCGCACATTGGTGCAGAACTTCCTATGCTGCAGTTTTGGCAGTAATGGAGATGTGTAAATGCAATGGAGATTCAAGCAGCCCCCAGTCCAACAGCAGCAGAGGAGATAGGAACTCTGCAGCCTGAGTTTGAGGGAAAATACCTTCAAAGGGGAAGATATAAGTACAGCTGCCTTTAAAATAAAGCACAACCTAAGAAGTACTTTTTAATGTGGTCTAATAGTGATAGGATGAAGGGGAAATGTTTAGAATGAAGACATTTGGATTACTTGTTGAGGGAAACGCTTTACTGAGGGGGCAGTGAGGCACTGGCACAGCTGCCCAGAGAAACTGTGGGTGCCCTTCCCTGGGGGCACTTGAGGCCAGGCTGGGTGGGCACTGGGCCCACCAGCCTGAGCTGGTGGGGGGCAACATGCCCATGGCAGGGGGTTCGGGGCTAAGTGAGATCTAAGAACCCTTCCACCCCAAGCAGTCTGTGGTTCTATGAGTTTGTTGAGACTCCCCGTGAGAAGGACCCAGCAAGAGCTGTCCTGTGTCTGTGTCATAGTTTTATGATTTTTATTATCAGTATTCCACATCATAACATGCCGTAAAGCTCATGGAATTAAAGAATTAATACTCCAGTTCCGTGGACTCACTTCCAGATACCTGGTTCTCAGATGAGAAGAGCTACATATCCAAGAGGACATCACTGTGTTCAGAGGGGAAGGTAAGACCCACCAGTGATGGGATTCTCTCTTGCTGCCTGGCAGTGTGTGGGTGGCTCCCCAGCCATTCCACCTTCAATTCAAAGTAAGGCCTTCGGTTTCTGACACTCTCATTTTATTTGACTTATTAGACTCAATTCCAATTATACTGTATTCTATTGTGTAATCTTGCAATTTAGTAAAATCAACTTTCCTTCTTAGATTGTTGCTGCTGTTCTGTCTTTGGGCACAGCTCCCATCTCCCTGCTCTCCCTTTTACCCTTTCCCTTTTTTTGGGCCGGTGGGCCTGCAGGCCTGCTGCCCCATGGTGGATAGAGATTGATCTAGATAACTCCGTGACAGATTTTGGTGGAGAAAGCAGACACTCTGATCTGTTTAACATTAGCAGAAAAAAAGAAAAAGGATTTCTTTAAGTCAGAGAGTTGCAGAGCGCTGGTAGCTAGCTTTGACCTTCATAGATTAGACTGTAGGGGCAGTCTGCCAGGCTCCGGACTCTGTACTGAGTGTTTTTGTTGGTTTGTTGGTTTTTTTTTTTCCTTTTTAGCAACTGCCAGCTATGAAACTGTTCTTCATTTTAGGAAGAACGTGAAGGATTAAAGACCATTATGTTTTTTGGAACTTACTGGTTTCTTACTAAGTTCATCATTTCCTGTTGTGGAGCTGTATGAATATACAAGCAAATAAGGGCACTGATGAGACACCTGCCTGGTACCCGTATTCAATGTTGTATGATTTGAATATTGACAATTACATCCCAGATGAAATAGCTGATTTTACAAACAACACAATGTTCAAACCAGTTTCCAGGCTCTCCTCTTCGTTCTTTATGCATTTTTGGAATGCTGAGATAGTGATTGTGTTTGTGCTCATGTTATCAATCTCCCAAAATGGAAAGGACAAGGGCGAATGGTTTTAAACTGAGACAGGGGAGGTTTAGGTTAGATATCAGGAGGAAGTTTTTCACACAGGGGGTGGTGAAGCACTGGAACATGTTGCCCAAGGAGGTTGTGGATGCTGCATTCCTGGAGGCATTCAAGGCCAGGCTGGATGTGGCTCTGAGCAGCCTGGTCTGGTGGTTGGTGACCCTGCACATAGCAGGGGGTTGAAACTGGATGATCTTTGTGGTCCTTTTCAATCCAGGCCATTCTATGATTCTATCATAGAATCATAGAATCATAGAATCACTAAGGTTGGAAAAGACCTAAAAGATCATCCAGTCCAACCGTTCACCTATTCCCAATAGCTCCTACTAAACCATGTCCCTCAACACAACATCCAGTCTTTCCTTGAACACCCCCAGGGTCGGTGACTCCACCACCTCCCTGGGCATCCATTCCAGTGCCTGACCACCCTTTCTGAAAAGTAATACTTCCTGATGTCCAGCCTGAATCTCCCCTGCCGTAGCTTGAAGCCATTCCCCCTGGTCCTATCACTAATGACACGAGAGAAGAGGCCAACTCCCAGCTCACTACAGCCTCCCTTCAGGAAGTTATAGAGAGCAATGAGGTCTCCCCTGAGCCTCCTCTTCTCCAGGCTGAACATTCCCAGCTCCTTCAGCCTCTCCTCATATGGCCTGTGTTCCAGACCCCTCACCAGCTTTGTTGCCCTCCTTTGAACACGTTCCAGGGCCTCAATATCTTTCTTGCAGTGAGGGGCCCAAAACTGGACACAGTACTCGAGGTGCGGCCTCACCAGTGCTGAATACAGGGGAACAATCACCTCTCTGCTCCTGCTTGCAACACCGTTCCTGATGCAGGCCAGGATGCCATTGGCCTTCTTGGCCACCTGGGCACACTGCTGGCTCACGTTCAGCCGAGCATCAATCAATACCCCCAGGTCCATTTCCTCTATGCAGTCCTCCAGCCACTCCACCCCAAGCCTGTAGCGTCGCCTGGGGTTGTTGTGGCCAAAGTGCAGGACCCGGCATTTGGCCTTGTTGAAACTCATCCCATTGGCTTCAGCCCAGCTCTCCAGCCTGTCCAGATCCCTCTGTAGGGCCTCGCTACCCCCAGGCAGATCCACACTTCCAGCCAACTTGGTGTCATCTGCGAATTTACTGAGGGTGCACTCGATGCCCTCATCGAGGTCATCAATAAAGATATTGAAGAGGACAGGCCCCAGCACCGACCCCTGGGGAACACCACTCACAACCAGTCGCCAGCTGGATTTGACTCCATTCACCACCACTCTCTGTGCCCGGCCCTCCAACCAGCTCCTTACCCAGCCAAGAGTATGATTCTATGATTCTATGATTCTGTGATTCTGTGATTCTATGATTCTATGATTCTATGATATGGTCAGTGCATAAAGCCAGTGGAGAATGGAGGCTGATGGTAGATTACCGTGGCCTGAATGAGGTCACACCCCCACTGAGTGCTGCTGTGCCAGATATGTTAGAATTCCAGTATGAACTGGAGTCAAAAGCAGCCATACAGCATGTCACCATAGACACTAATAGTGCCTTCTTCTCCATTCCTTTGGCTACAGAATGCAGGCCACAGTTTGCTTTCATCTGGAGGGGCGTTCAGTATACTTGGAACCATTTGCCCCAGGGGTGGAAACACAGCCCAACCATTTGCCATGGGCTGATCCAAACTCCATTAGAATAGGATGGTGCTCCTGAGCACCTAGATTATATTGGTGATATCATTGTGCAGGGGGATACATCAGAGGTAGTTTTCAAGGAAGGAGAGTGAATAATCCAAATTCTTCTGCATGGTGGTTCCACTATTAAGTGAAGCAAAGTGAAAGGACCTGCCCAGGAAATCCAGTTCCTGGGAATATAATGGCAATATGGGTTTTGTCACATCCCAGCAGATGTGATTGACAAAATCACTGCTATGTCTCCATGCACTACCAAGAAAGGGACACAATCTTTTCTGGGCACAGTGGGCTTTTGGAGAATGCATGTTCCAAACTATAGCTTCATTGTAAGCCCCCTTTATCAGGTGACACAGAATAATAATAATTTTGCATAGGGTTCTGACCAGCAGCAGGCATTTGAGCATACCAAAGAGGAGATAGCCCAAATCATGTCCCTGGGACCAGTACGGATGGGACAGAACGTAAAGAACATCCTCTACACTGCTGCTGGAGAGAAAGGTCCCACTTGGAGTTTGTGGCAGAGCCTCAAAAATGAGCCAAGGCCGACCCCTGGGGTTTTGGAGTAGAGCATACAGGTCAGGAGAGCACTACACTCCAACTGAAAAGGAGATCTGAGCTGCATATGAGGGGGTTCGGGCTGCTTCTGAAGTAACTGGCAGTGAAACACAGCTCCTTCTGGCACCTCGATTGCCAGTGCTGAACTGCATGTTTAAAGGAAAGGGTCCCTCCACCCATCATGCCACTGATGCCACTTGGAGTAAGTGGATTGCACTGATTACACAACGAGCGCGGGTGGGGAACCTCAGCCATCCAGGAATCCTAGAGGAATCCAGGAATCCTAGATCATGGGCTGGCCTCAAGGTAAAACATTTGGAACACCACCTGCAGAAGAGGTGTTGTGAGCTAAAGCAGCCCCACTATACAATGAACTACCAGAAAATGAAATTTGCTGTTCACAGATGGATCATGTTGTACTGTGGGAAAGCATCGCAGATGGAAAGCAGCTGTGTGGAGCCCCACACGACAAGTTGCAGAGGCCACTGAAAGGAAAGGCAAATCAAGCCAATTTGCAGAGGTAAAGGCTGTCCAGCTGGCCTTAGATGTTGCTGAACGGGAGAGGTGGCCAATGCTCTATCTTTACACTGACTCCTGGATGGTGGCAAATGCCTTATGGGGGTGGTTGCAGCAGTTGGAACAAATCAACTGGCAACAGAAGAGTAAACCTATTTGTGCTGCTGAACTGTGGAAAGATATTGCTGCCTGAATAAAGGATATGGCTGCAAAGGTGCACCACGTAGATGCTCATGTGCCCAAGAGTCGGGCTACTGAAGAACAGCAAAATAACCATCAGGTAGACCAAGCTGCCAAAATTGAGGTGGCTCAAATAGACCTGGACTGGCAGAACAAGGGTGAATTATTTCTAGCTTGGTGGGCCCGAGACCTTGGGCCATCATGGAAGAGATACAACATACAAATGGGCCAGAGACCGAGAGGTGGACTTCACTGTGGATGCTATTGCACAGGTTATTCATGACTGTGACACATGTGCCACAATTACACAAGC